ATGGGTTGTGATGGTGGTGTCACTGTTTGGGTTCTTGAAATGAGTGTATGGGTTGTGATGGTGGTGTCACTGGTTGGGTTTTCTGAAGTGAGTGCATGGGTTGTGTTGGCGGTGTCACTGGTTGGGTTTCCTAAAGGGAGTGGGACAGGGTGAGTTGTGATGGTGGTGTCACTTGTTGGGTTTTCTGAAGTGAGTGTGGGTCATGATGGTGGTACCATTCGTTGGATTTACTGAAGTGAGTTGTGAGAGTGGTACCACTTGTTTCACAGTACTTGATTTAGATACATGATTACATGATATTTTTGGGGTGATATTTTAACCTCAAATTTAAAAAGCTGTTCTCACTATCTAGTGAACCTGGATCATTGCTCAAAACATTTTATCCATATTCAATGAATAAAGCTTGGAAAGACTGGAATGCAACTAATGTGTGGTATCTTTCTGATTACTTTAATAGTGATTATAACTTGCACAATCTGATTATAGATTTCATTTCTTGTTCCCTTCAGGCCATAAAGAGCGACAACTTTCCGAAATGTGATTTCATCCCTTTTGAATTCTACGAAGTGAGGCATGCCAAGGCTAGTCTGAAGAAGTTGATGAGAGCGTGCGTTCCGAGTACAACGTTGACTGATCCTGAAGTCTCGTTTCACAAGTTAGTGGAAGATGCAGAGTGGCTTCCGCAGGTGAGAAAATGTGAACAAGCGAGTCCAGAGTGAGTGTGTGTTTGTGTGAGTGTGTTTAATGAATGAATATTAACTCAATTTTTTCTACCATTCAGATTCAGAATATTATGCAGTTGGCGGGTGCTGCTGTGGATTTGATGGACATTCAAGGTTCCTCTGTGATGATTAGTATGGAAGATGGAGGTGATTTTACCACACAGGTATCTTGCTCTTTATCTCTCTATTTAGTGTTTTAAGACCTGATGTGCATGTGGTTCTTAGTGGTTAGTGTGGCTGCCAAACATCAGAGAGGTTTTAGGTTCAGCTGCCCTTCTCAGCCGAAAAACAATACATATTGTCAAAATTGTCAAGGTTGCGAGTCTGGCATTCAGTAGGAGGCAGCATAAAATTGTCGGTCCAGTCTGCTGTTCCTGTCTTCAGTGATGTAAAAAGTCAAAGCATCCTTGTCGAA